ACTGGTCCCTCCTCTTTGCTCCCTACTTTTGCATTCCAGTCACCAGTAATGAGCAATACATCTTGATTGCATGTTTGATCGATTTCAGACTGAAGTAGTTGAAATGTCATATTGGGTCTCATCAAATAGATTTTCTCAACCAGTGATAAGACTAGAGAGATATTTCTTATCAGGAGAAAGAAAACTACCATTTCCTTTTAAATCCTGTTGATATTCCATGCTATTCTGAATGAGTCCCTTCCTACATTTCCTATCTACATACATACATTTACAGAACTTCAACTATCAATGAGTTTGTGGCTTTTATAGACAACTGTGGAATACTGAGCTTTGGATATTATTTTCTTTAGAAATTTAAATGACCTTTTTGTTTTAGAATGTTTGTAGATTTCCAGACAAGTTACAAAGGCAGTAGGGAAAGTCCCAGTGTACTTCTCAGTCAGTTTCCCTGGTACTGATATTTTACATCACCAGGACACATGTGTCACGATCACATCCCGGTTCTCTGACACCAAACGCAGTCGATCAATTTCAACCCACTCCACACTACCTCAGTTTCTACTCCAACTGCCCAAATAGCCCTTCCCTGACCCTGCTAACCGGAGCTAAACCAGAGCTCACAAGTTAAAGGGGCAGTCCTCCAGATTTCAGATGCCAGTCACAAGCTTGGGGGCCCCTTGCGTCCCCTCACTTTTGACTTGCTGATTACCTCAGGATGCCAACTATAAACTCAGGGGTCCCCATGCTCCCTTCACTTCTGACTCAATGGCTTCCATTCCTCTCTTATAATTCACTAGGACTTATAGAACTCCTAGGATGAGGTTTGGGAGGGGACCCCCCCACCCCAAACTCGAAGCTTCCATACCCCACAAAGGGACACACTATCATTCCACTGCATCACTGTCTACCAACCAGGATGCCCAGGCAGCTTCTTGTCCAGAGCCTTTAATTTACTGCAGTCTACATGTGTAGGCATGGGAGATTCAATCAGTGCCCAGACCATAGCCCCCCTCCCCGAAGAAATCCACACATCTTACTGTTGATTCACGGTGGCCAGCCATGGCCCTACTGAATACTGGTGTAAAGGCCTCATTAAAAGAACTTCAACCATTGGGGGAAATCCCAAATTTTAGAGGTATCTCTCAACAATCAAGGGCAAAGAGTAGATTATTTGGGCAAAGTTAAACCCCACACCGACTACTGCAGCACATGACTATGAACAACCATAGTTTTACACGAATAACATGTGTACTATACATGTCTTTAAGGAGCTCTGGTAGCGTAGTGGTTACGAATTGGGCTGTGAACCGCAAGGTCAGCAGTTCGAAACTACCAGTTGCTCCGTGGGAGAAAGAGGAAGTTTTCTGCTCACGTAAAGATTTACAACCTCAGAAACCCTGTACAGGGTCGCTATGAGTCGGAACCGACTCCACGGCACAGAACAACAATAACATACACATCTTTGCAAATGGTACAACCCTTCGGATTAGTTCCCTATGCACACGATGCAAGTTATATAGGTGGGCACATTATACGCACACACAAAGAAGTGGTACACACTTGATGTACATTCATCTTATAATAAATCTGCCTAGTGACAAAGCATTGCTGACTTTAGCCAACACCCATGAGCTTATCTGACCCTCAAGCCCAGGAGGGTAGGCAGGTAGGCGGGGTGATCATAGCCACTTGCCATGAGAAAACCGAGTGATGTCAAATGGGACCAGTGATGTACTTGAAGTGATCCCACCAAGTTAGAAAACCACCCTCTGTTAACCTGGCGTCTTCATTTCCCTTTCCACAGAGTC